ATCACCATCACCATCACCAGTAGTAGCAGCAGCAACACCAGCATCAGTAGATCTACTGTACCAACTAGATGAATACGAAACAAGGACTGATGTAAATCTAATCTTCCTTAATATTAGCGAAAAGTTCCAACAATTTCCTGACCTCGATCTTTTCTCTCATCATTGAGTACTCTACTACGCGATGATCTTTATTAACCTGCCAATTAATTTCTTCTTCTTCTTTTTTCTTTCTTTCAAGACCATCAATTATAATTCGATACTTTAACGTGAGACGTTAGGATGGATTATTAATGCGGTTAATTAATAGAATTAATTTCGATTATTTCGAAACGTGTGACCTAGTTTTTTCTCTATATATATATATCTCTCTCTCTCTTTCTTACTTTTCATTGATCGTAGATATATGCTAGAAAAATAATAATCGATTAATCGAATTTTTAATAAATTCACAATCGTCGATATGACGATCTTGTACGAAACTTTCTTGAATTTTATAAATACGACAAATAGTTTTTGTATCCTTTTTATTTATATCATTTACATCATTGCCAATAAAATAACTAAAATACTTTCAACAAATGTTAGATTTAATTCGTTCGACAATAAGTTACGATTTAATCTAATGAAATTTTGTATTTTAATGAATTACACCATCACACACACAATTAAAACTAAATCTTCGTTAATATTCATTAAAAATCTTCTAATAAGGGTGCTGTTCAAAAATCGCTTTCTCGGGAAAAAAATCAAGGGAAATGCAGCCTCCGGCGTAAGCGATACTCTTAAATGTAAAATATTCCGATAAAAAAGAAAAAAGGAAAAAAAGAAAAAAAGAAAAATCGATAAGGAACGGTAAAAAAAATTGGCGTAAGACAATAATAATGCATATGCATGTACATATGTATAATATGTACGTAAGATTCTAACGTAAGTACGTCTGTCTAAAATGAGAAATTCTAAGTTTCGTAGTTTAAAGAAGAAATATGCAAAAGCCCCAAGGTTTCATAGGAAAAAGAGGAACAGGGAAGAGGAGAAGAGTGGTAGGGGGTGGGGGGGGGGGGGGTTTGTGTGGATATCAAAGGGAGGTATCCTTTGCGTTAGAAAAGTGCATCGAACGCCTTCCAATGAGATTCCACCTTCATCCTCTCTCTTCGCGTACCTTTTTCTCCTTCTCTCTTTTTTGCTCCGTATATTTCTCTCTCTCTCTCTCTCTCTCTCTTCGTTCTCGCATTTGCATGCACGAACCTAATCTCGCACTGCTCTTTTTTTCTTCTGACTCGTAAAAGCACCGGTTCATTCGCGCCTCCGTCTCGTTCGTTCCTTACTCGATGCGCATCTTCCATGAAAAATAAAAGAGTTAAAAGAGAATAAATAAAAAATAAAAA